CTTCTTCTGCTCCGTCTGCAGGGCACTCCTGCTGAGAATCCTCTGGCTCCTGCTGAACATGTTCTTTCTCTAAGTCTGACGTACACCAGAGAAAACGGGTATACATCAACGTGCATGGCACACGATAAAACCCTACAAAAGAAACTAGAACGAACGAAAATCCGATACAAAAAATGATACGATAACAGAAATAACAAAAGGATGTACAATAGTAAATCCACAAATCAACATGAAAACACTATTAAATTATGATAACATAAGGCATCCAAAATCGATCAGGTAACAAGGTCATGCAGCTAGCGATCAAACTAATCATCCAAGTATCAATGTCATACAACTAGATAAAACTAATACTTAAAAATTTACAACAAGAGACGTAGTACGTCGAGCGAAATAATCCAAACAAGGAAACCCTCATGTATATACCATATGTCTTAAATTGTAGATAATTAAATATTAATCCTGATCTATGTATGAAAAGAGATACAACTGATCTACATCCCACAAGAATCCACAATTATCCAAGTGACAAAAACATACTACTAGCCATCCTATCATAACTCACTGGTCCACATCTCAACAAAACTAACAAGTCCACCATAAAGCACGAAGCATATTATTCTTGTTTTACATGTTATTTGAATTGGGGGAGGATATTTTAATGTATATAATTGGGTCCCCGTAAACCTGTCCGGGGGCCGCCTTCAAGTTAATTATTGGCTCTCTGGCCCATATATATAACACTCACGATATCATGATAATAGGAAAGCACTGTGCCCGTTTATATACATGCTATATTCTCCGTCCAATTCCCCTTTATAACCCCATGTTTGTCATATTAATTATGCAACTTTACATAAAATATTGTGCACTAGCCACGGAGTTACCGTGGAACGACTTCTGTAAAACTATAAAAATAACCATGACCCACAACACGTCCGATCAAGGGTGCATCGTCTAGTCAATGCTATAATAGTAATAATCAAGGAAACCTCATACCGGGATATCGATATCGAGGGAACTCGGGACTCCTCACATCGGGATATCGATGTCAAGTGAGTATAGCCATGCTTTGAAGCACGCTTATAAATCATACTTTAACAGAATTCGTCTTTATGTACAGTCTCTCCTATTAGATAACAACTAAGTAATAAAACAACAAGCTTCCTCACAGTTATTCATGTCAAGCAATCCCACGCAGGTAATAATATATCATAGACTAATCTAATTAATTAACTCATAACAGATCTAGAAATTGAAAGACGAGTCAATAAGTAATGGGATCTTGCACATAATAATTTATGATAAAACTAAGAATTAAAATGAAAATAATCGAGGTTCAGGATCTTGCACATAATAATTTACGATAAAACTAAGAATTAAAATAAAAATAATCGAGGTTCGGGATCTTGCCTCGGGGTTTCGTCGAACGAGTCGACGTCGTCGTGCGAGTAAGAGATTAGATCCTATACACACACACACACACACACAACACACACACACACCCCACACACACCACACACACACACCACATTATAATATATATTATAATATAGCGATATATAATAATATACTATTGATATATATATAATATTATATATATACTATATATTATATATTACATTCCTCTCTCCCTCTCTCATGTTTTCCGCCGCCTCCTCCTTGCTCGCAACCCGCCAGACGACCCAAACCCCTTCAGCCCCGCTCGCAGCCCCTTGTCCAGCCGCCCTCTGACGCCCTCTCTTGACCCGCCAGCAGCCACCTCGCCATCCGCATTACATGGCTAGCATATACACACACACACACACACACAACACACACACACACCCCACACACACCACACACACACACCACATTATAATATATATTATAATATAGCGATATATAATAATATACTATTGATATATATATAATATTATATATATACTATATATTATATATTACATTCCTCTCTCCCTCTCTCATGTTTTCCGCCGCCTCCTCCTTGCTCGCAACCCGCCAGACGACCCAAACCCCTTCAGCCCCGCTCGCAGCCCCTTGTCCAGCCGCCCTCTGACGCCCTCTCTTGACCCGCCAGCAGCCACCTCGCCATCCGCATTACATGGCTAGCANGTGTGTGTGAAGAGAGAGAGTAAATTAGGGTTTTGAAAATTAATTAAAAATAATATTAATTATGAAATAAATTAAATAATTATGTAAAAATTATCTACACATCAAAACGTACCAGTTGTAATAATACAACCGATAATACATAACAGTAGAAATAATACAAGAAATTGTATAATTAAACAAGAATAATTAATAAAAATATAATTACATATATTTAAAATTAAATAATTATGTGATAATTATCCACATAATAATTAATTAAAAATAATATTAATCACAAAATAAATTAAATAATTATGTAAAAATTATCTACACATCAAAACATATCAGTTGTAGTAATACAACCGATAATACGTAACAATAAAAATAATACAATAAATTATACAATTAAACAAGAATAATTAATAAAAATATAATATCTTATATTTAAAATTAAATAATTATGCGATAATTATCCACATAATAAAACGTACCGGTTATGCTAATACGACAGAAAATATGCAACAGTAGAATTAATACAACAAATTATACAAATAATACGTAATTAACAATACAACGTATTATCCAAAATAATACGTAACAGTATCGATAACACAACGGATAATTTCCAAAAATTTTCACCGTATAAAATGAATTTATAAATATTAATATCATTTAAATAAGGGAAAATTGCTTGGAGAAACCAAATAAAGTTGGGCTATGCATCCCCACCCCAAGTCTAAAAACCATAACCAAAAAGCCCTAAAAATGAAAAAGAAGTGCAACACCCCAAGTCTAAAAACCATAACCAAAAAGCCCTAAAAATGAAAAAGAAGTGCAACCAAACCCCAAAACCCACTGCCCAAGAAACATTCCCAAATTACCCTTCTTCTTCCCCATTTAAAACCCAATCTCTTTCTCCTCCTAATCTGGCCCAAGGTCTCCCCCCACCATCGCCTCCCCCTCCCCTACCACCGCCGACGTCGTAGCCTCCACTCACGCGACCGTTCCCCCTCCCCTACCACCGCCGACGTCGTAGCCTCCACTCCTACGCGACCGTCTCCTCGTCCTCTTCCTCCGCCCTCCGCGCCCGCGTCGACCGAGTTGAGGAAGCACCATTTGGGTTTGAGCCCCCTTTGTTTTGGCTTTGGGGAATCGTCTGAAGCAAGCAACCGCCCCCCTTCTTCTTCATCCCTTGACGGGATCCTCGACCCCTCATATAAAATCAAAAATTTTCCCCAAAATTCTTAAATTTCACTGAAATGCATCGAGATATCTGAGGATGTTGAATGAATTCGTGGCTCGAGTTCTCGCGTTCATGCTTCTTCTGCCTGTTTTGTTGTCAAATTTGATGCTTTATTTTGGCTTTGGGGGTTAAATTAGGGTTTATTTGGATGCAGATTGATGCTTGGCTACGCGTATCAAACATTTGAATGCTTTAAAATGATGGAGGTGGGGGCAAGCTAGCATAGGGCAACTCCATTTCTGGTGCCAATACTGGTGAGATCATTTTCTTGAATTTAGTTTTTTGAAATTGAAATTTTAGAAGGAAAAATATAAGGTTATTGATGATTTGAGAATGAATTGGGGTTTCTTGAATTCTTTTAGCAGGGTGATTGTTGCAATCTTGATGGTCTTTGAAAGATTCTTCGATGTGTTCATTTCTGTAGGCGTCAAAAAATACTGAAAGATATCCAAATACAGCTCAAGAGGAAATCATCCAAAAAAATCAAAAGAACACAAGTATAGACTGTCTCGCCGTGCGGGACAGCCTTTGCTGTCTCGCCGTGCGGGACAGCCTTTGCTGTCTCGCCATGCGAGACAGTGTTTTCTGTCTCGCACGCGAGACAGTGTTTACTGTCTCGCCCACGAGACAGCCTTCAAAAGATCAAAAACTGTTTTGTAACCGCTGACACGTGGCCACTAACTATTCGAAACATCCTCAAGAAGCTTCTAGCGAGTCCTAGAGATCTAAGCTCAGACTTGATCTTTGGAAGAGTGAACATCTTACATCGATAAGATATTCGCTTCAAATTCTTACTTCGATAAACGAAGGAAGAATCATTAAACCCCTCACGGTTCAATCAGAATCTGTGATTTGGTGGTCCACAAGTCAAAGCGCTCCCGGCACAGGCAAAGATCCCACGCAAGCAGCGATCCAAACAACGATCCTGCGTTTGTTTCTAAAAAGTTGTAATTTTTATTTTGTTGTGTAAAAGAAGTCTTATAAAAAGACTATCTCTTTTGAATTTGTTGTAATCGACCGAAGATATAATGAATTCCACAAAAAGAGCAACTTTCGACGAAAACAAACTGGCGACCACAGTGGGAGCCAACGGTCTCGCTGCCGAGACCGTAATGTCGCAGCCAATTAAGATACCGGTTGAATCCATGGTCGAGTATGAATTCGACCAAACCAAATTTGAGGAATATATCTCATCGTCCTCTTCAAGATCTTCATTATCTCATAAGTACAAGAGGATCTCATCATTGAAGAAGGTCTATACATCGTCCTCTTCAAGATCTTCATTATCTCATAAGTACAAGAGGATCTCATCATTGAAGAAGGTCTATACGCCAGAGAAGGCTAAAAGTGAAGCCTCTCACCCAATCGTTGTTGAGGCCATGCCTCGCAACATTATTCTGGCAACCCTCAAAGCCGGAAGCTCTGCTCATGATCATTCCTCCCTAATTAAGGAGTCGTTCGATCGGAGTTCGCCAACTCTGACGAAGAGGGCTCGTCAGAGGCGACGCCAACACCTCGCTCGTCAATTGGCTAAGGCCTTGGAATAAACCGATGGAGTTCGTTACTATGCGGACTTAGAATCGAGGAGGCATCGAGTGTTTCAGTTGTCTCAACGACCAATCACTCATATCTCTGCTAAACTAACGATGGATGAATGGACTTTTGTCAAAAGGGCTCGTTCGACCCTCAAAGAACGAATACAAAAGCGTCATGCAAACACTGCTCATGCCCGTTCTCTCTTACAACAAAGACGAGAAAGAAACAAGAAAACGGTGGCCAATCTCTCTTACAACAAAGACGAGAAAGAAACAAGAAAACGGTGGCCAAAGAACCACCAAAACTCTACAAAGTTTGGATTCCAAAGTCTGGAGTTGTGCAAAATCAGCATACACCCGCAAGGGGGTGGTTCTAAACGTATGACTCTTGACATAACATTGGATCGCTCAGAGGCGACGACAAGTCATCCTGGGTATGTTAACAAGGTTCAAACACAAAAACAAAAGATAGGTTGCTCTGGTCACCATGCTGACGAGTTGTACTATCAAACTAAAAGTGGAAACAAATCACATAAAAGGACCGTTCGAGAAACAAGTCCTCATTGTGCATGTGAAAAACTTATCAAAGCAGTGTTGTCTGAATGCAGCTGCTTTACAGCCATTCCGCCGAAAGTTTCTGTGTTCCAGAGACTTTCTATCGAAATGTCAAACCGAGACGTTTCAACAAGAAGCTTGCTATTCAAGAGGATGAATTCCCTGAAGTCACCATCAACATGGCTGATAAAGGAAAATCTAAGTGGCATTCAAGTGAATCAAACACCGACTTTTCCCCGGGAGGAAAAGTTAATTCAAGAATTGCCCGACGGATGTCTCGACTCCAGCTAGGAGCTATCAGACGTAGAGACTACAAGAGAATGCAGGAAGGAATGTCATCAGAGGATGAGCTCTCGGACACTTGTTCTGCGATTGCTTCGGATGATACGGTATCCAGCACAGGGCAAACCAGAGAAGTACTCACAATCACTTCTGATCAGTTTGCTCAAATACTTTAAGAAGCTCTAGCCAAACAACGTGAAGAAATTAGAGCTGAAATGAAGACAGAGATAGAGTTGGCTATCCAACAAATGAGGGAATTGCTAGCTCAACGGCCTTAACCTCCGGAGTCCAGTAAACGAGCTGAATCCAGCCGCCACACTCAGAAGGTGGCAGATGATAGTGATCCAAAAGTGGATGAAGTTATTATGGCTGATACACCTCCCAATAGCAATAACACTGGGGGTGGTTTAACGCACCCTCCCAATAACGATATTGGGGGTGATTCAATGGCACCTCTTACAGGGGGTGGTCTAACTCATTCTCCTCAACGTCCTTCGAAAGAGCTTGAAAACAAAATCAACGTTTTGATGACGGCTCAAGAAGGGAAAAAGACGGGTATTCCATGTCCCTATCCAAGAGAATGGGATTCAATACCGTACCCGGCAAAATTCAGTCTAGTTAACTTCACACCGTTTGACGGAAAAAGTTCGCCTACTCAGCACTTGATTTATTTCAAGTCTCATTTGGGCATGATTTCTTGAAATGAGGCTTTAATGGTCCGGTCATTCGTTGGCACTCTTCGTGGGCCCGCCTTCGATTGGTATCGACGTCTCGTCCGGTCATTCGTTGGCACTCTTCGTGGGCCCGCCTTCGATTGGTATCGACGTCTCAAGCCAGGGAGCGTCAATTGCTGGCATGACATGGAAAGTTTGTTCCTCAGCAATTTCTTCGATGATGACACCGATGTGTCAATCGGAACCCTTTTAGATGAGAAGCAAAAAGACGGAGAGTCAGTCGACAATTTTGTCAAGCGCTTCCGTAACAAAGCAATGAATTGCAGAGATCCACTCACAGAAGAGTTCATCCTGCAAACATGCCATAATAATCTCTCCATCGATGTCCTGGAAGCCCTGGGGGTCGTACCATCCAAAACTTGGAAAGATTTGAAAATGCGCGGTGAACAAGCTGAACACTTTCTTAAAAGAAAGAAAGCTGAGAGAAGCCGACCGACGACATCTGCAATCACTGGGAACGCGACTCCCGATCCGAGGTTTCAAAATGAGTATTCTTTCGAAGAAGATGAAGCTCCAGCCATCTTGAAATACCTCCTCGCCAATGACAAAATCGAGCTACCACCTATTAAAGATCAGGAGGGAGCTAAGAGGATTATGGATCCAAACTACTATGCGTACCACAGAAGGGTTCTTCACCCCACTGAGATTTGCTTTGGACTCAAAAATAAAATCCAAGCCTTAATTGACTCCGGTGTCATAACGGCAGAACAAGCCAAGTAAAGACGGTTCTAACTCCATTGGGTGCACGAGTATAAACTGTTTCCCCTCACTCCAAAGAGTATACGAGTATAAACTGCTTCTCGATCATCCAACTGAATACAATGGTAAACCCAGCTTCACAAAGGAAGCTGGGGGTGGATGATTTATGTAACGGGAAGTTCCTAGAGAATCTTATATTCTTAAGGATAACCCGAACATGCGACTGAGGATGACGTACTCCTCGTTATACCCAGTTTTACAAAGAAAGCTGGGGGTCAATAATTCATGTAACGGGAAGTGTTAGGATCGTCTCAAATTCCCATCTTGGTCAAACCTTTAAACAGTTAGGACCAAAGCCAAAATCCCCTCTCGATTCGTTCCATGAACGAGAGGTCCACAAATTGAACGATCAAACCATTAAACAGTTAGGATCGTTTCAAATTTTCATCTTGGTCAAACCTTTAAACAGTTAGGACCAAATCCAAAATCCCCTCTCGATTCCTTCCATGAACGAGAGGTCCACAAATCGAACGATCAAACCATTAAACAGTTAGGATCGTATCAAACTCCCACATGGTCAAACCTTTAAACAGTTAGGACCAAAGCCAAAATTCCCTCTCAATTCCTTCCATGAACGAGCGGTCCACAAATCGAACGATCAAACCTTTAAACAGTTAGGATCGTATCAAACTCCCACATGGTCAAACCTTTAAACAGTTAGGACCAAAGCCAAAATCCCCTCTCGATTCCTTCCATGAACGAGAGGTCCACAAATTGAACGATCAAACCTTTAAACAGTTAGGATCGTCTCAAATTTCCATCTTGGTCAAACCTTTAAACAGTTAGGACCAAAGCCAAAATCCCCTCTCGATTCGTTCCATGAACGAGAGGTCCACAAATTGAACGATCAAACCTTTAAACAGTTAGGATCGTCTCAAATTCCCATTTTGGTCAAACCTTTAAACAGTTAGGACCAAAGCCAAAATCTCCTCTCGATTCGTTCCATGAACGAGAGGTCCACAAATTGAACGATCAAACCTTTAAACAGTTAGGATCGTCTCAAAACTCCCACTTGGTCAAACCTTACTACAGTTAGGACCACCACCAAAAGTTCCTTTCGATTCATTTCGCAAACGAAAGGTCCAATTTTGAATTGGATAATCAAACCTTATGACTTTTAGGATTATTCAAACCAATCCAGATTCTCTAAGTGGAGATCCCACTTCGAGTTTCCTTTGCACCAGGAGATGGAATATAAAATTCTTCCTCTCTGATTTTGGGTTCATCTCTACCAACAAACAAGAGACCAGGATATAGAATATAAAATTCTTCCTCTCTAATTTTGGGTTCATCTCTACCAATAAACAAGAGACCAGGAGATAGGATATAAAATTCTTCCTCTCCATCATTGGGTTCATCTCTACCAACAAAAAAAGAGACCAGGAGATAGAATATAAAATTCTCCCTCTCCATCAGTGGGTTCATCTCTACCAACGAAAAAGAGACCATATTACTCCAATAGGTACACGAGTCTAAACTGTTTCCCTACCCTCAACAGGAAGTTTCTGGAAAATATTACTCAAAATATTCTTAAGAATAACCTGATTACCTCCCAACGGGTATATGAGGTTGAACTATTTCCCGAACACTCCAATAAAGTATATGAGTATAAACTATTTCTCCATTCTTCAATAGCAGTTCTAATTCAAGACTTCGACGACGGTCACGCGATAAACGCAGCACTGAAGGAAGTTTAGCTATTCTACAAAGCACTGAATAGGCTAAAAGATGAAAGTTGAAGCCATTTTTGGGTCCTTCCGTACGATCTACTCAATCAAGCATTGAAGGGAGTGCAGATAAGATCTATCTTATCCAAAGTATCACAGACTCCTCTATACAAAAAATGAGTCGGAATACTTTGGAGGGGGTATCTGTAGACGTCAAAAAATACCGAAAGATATCCAAATACAGCTCAAGAAGGAATTCATCCAAAAAGTCAGAAAAAAGGACATAGACCGTCTCGCACGCGAGACA